AAAGGTGGTCAGGTTACTCTTGGACTGTGACCCTTATGTTATATATAATAGAACAGTGCTATTCGCAAAAGCGGCCAGAAATATTCAAGCTAATTTTCTGAAAGCCATTGCAATCAATTGTGTGGGATATTCCCAGATATGAACGGTCTCTTATTATTTTATATGTCTGTGATTTTATCATGATTTTATTTTACCATATCTGTATTTTAAACAATTGTGACGCCTTTTAGCTAATACAATAAACTTGAACTATATATATAGTTATATATATATAATTTCTTATGTACAGTACATTCTTTTAATTTCTTCATTATAACCAGTGGTACAATTGGAACAATTTCCACGAAATCTGAAATGAAATGTGGAGGAATCTATCAGGTTACACAGACAAATGATGGACTGGAAAAGATGGGGAATAAATAACAAACACAAGAAGTATTAGAAATAGGAATAATATTTTGGTTAAAGCTTAATGAATTAAAGCAGTGGACTAAAAATTGGTTAAAAAGAAATGGTAAATCTATGGATCTTACTAGATATGAAGAAAGGATGCTACAGAAGGAAAAGGTAAATGAAAATAAGATAATCAAAGAGATAATAAGTACAATTTATAAAATATTAACAGAAGCAGAAGACCAACAAGATTGTCTTAAAGCATTATGGAAACATGATTTGGGAGAGGAGATAAGTACCAAAGTGTGGAAGAATATTGTATGTCCTGATGGTCTGTTTCAGTGTGTGTAAAAAAAATTAAAACAAAAAAAGAGGAGTGGATTTATTTAATTGTGAGCTTTCATGAATTACAGTCCACTTCCTCAAATATATTCCTCAGATGTCTAAAGAGGTGGATTATAATCAATGAAAGCTCACAATGGAAGTCTTTAAGGTGCCACACTTATTTTATTTTTTTATTTTTCCTGTGTCATGATCTTCTTGTGACCAGGCAGGTAAAATGAGGGCTGGATGATACTACTATCATGTAGAATTTTAGTTCAAGTTCCAACAGGAAAAATGTAAAATTGTACATTTAGGCAGAAGAATTCAGATGCACAAATATAGGATAGTTTGGCAATATTACACATGGACTTCAAGCTAAACACAAATCAGTAGTATGATATAGCAGAAGGGGGGCGGATGGAAACCTTATGCAAATCCAGACTGCCTCAACAGAAATATCAAGCCCAGATCAAGGAAGTGCCACTTGATTCAGCTTTGGTCAGATACCTCACCTGGAATCCTATGTCCTTTTTGGGGCACCTACCTTTAGAAAGAGTATTGAGAAGCTAGAACATGTATAGAGGAGACCAGTTAAGATGGCAATGGTCTAACAACCAAGCCTTATGAGGAATAGTTGAAGGAGGTACAGTAGGTATGATTAGCCCCCAGAAGAAAAACATCAGGGGCGGTAGAATTGCCATATTCAAATCTTTGAAGGGGTGTCAAGTGGAAGATGGAGTAAGTTTGCTTTCTGTGGCTCCAGAGGATAGGAACAAAATTAATGGATTCAAATTCCAAGAACAGAGATTTTGACCAAATGTTAGGAGTAACTTCCTGACAGTAACAGCTGTTTATTCATGGAATGGGTTTTCTTGGAAAGTGGTGGAATTTGCTTCACTAGAGATTTTTAAACAGGGTTTCGAGGTTGGTGGTGTCAGCTGGCAAGCTGTTTAGGCTGTGAAATTACTGCTTTTTCAGGCGATGGGGCTTAATGACCCTTGAGGTCACTTTCAGCTTCACAACTTCATGGTCTGGTAACATTTTTTAAAAAGCAAATAATGTTCAGCTCTGACCAAGATTTGATCAGGATAGAGTAACATCAGGTGAAATATGCATTACTAGTTTTTCAGTTTTCAAATTTAATGTGATACATCCTTTTATTGCCTGCCTGAAAGAAAGCAACGTTCGGCCCATTAAATTTAATTTAATATGTCCTTTTATTGCCTGCTTGAAAGGAACCATTGTTTGTCCCATCCTTAAGAAGCCTAACTTAATGACAGATGATTTAATGAACTTCAGACCTGTTGCTAATATCCTATTTTAGGGCAAGTTGATGGATTGAGAGGATTGTGGCAGATCAGTTACAAGCATTCTTGGAGGAAACTGATTGACTGGATCCTTTTCAGTCAGGATTCATGCTGCACCATGCCACTGAAACTGCACTGGTTGCATTGCATGATGACCTCTTAAAGGGGGCCAACAGGGGCAGAACCTTGTTGGTTGTCTTGGATGTCAACCATGGTATCCTGGATAGACGTTCGGGACTGGGAATCAGAAGTCTTGCACTTTACTGATTCTAGTCCTTTCTTGATAATTTTACCCCAGTGGTCCAGCTTGGAGATCCTGTCTCAGTCCCTTGGGTCCTGCATTATGGGGTCCCACAGAGACTGAGCATCTCCCAAATGCTTTTTAA